TAGCCTAGAGTAATTTCCATGCAAGTTCACTTTATATCCGTTAGAATGGTAATCGCATTATCCGTCTGATTAGATATTTTCTAAATATATTGCTTGTATTAATCACAATACAACATATATGCAACCATTAAGGTTAGGCAGAAACACCACGTAGATTAAGAACTAATTGTCGCGACATAAGATAGGCTATATAATGAATGCTGCGCCCCATAGAGTTTGGGTACTCCAGCTTACAGGCTGTTGAGTGGAATGATTTATATACGGCCGATAACAGCCTCAGCCATACAAGTATTACATTCCAGTTTCATGACAAGTTCTTCGTTCCATCAACTTTGGTTTGCACTATAATCTTATGGAGCCAATGCAGGTTATGAGTGATTTAGTTATTTAATAAAATTATATCGTATTGTAGATATAATAAAGTGCAAAATTTATACAGCAATCATGATTACAAACAGGTAAAAATCATGAAATATTGTATAGATGATATGTGATGCTTATTGTTTAATTGTTTTTATTTCTTATTAAAATTGAGAAGTCCCACTGAGCATTATTTGCTCAAGCGAGTCCTAGTTTATTAACTTGTAGGTTTCGAAGTATCTGGAACCGTAGAAGAATCAGCTTACAACTTGTTGTAGTAGTTCAATCTGTGGAAGACTACAGTTTCAGGGAAGACATACTCATGGTTTGAATTTTGATTTCTGTCTAATGCCTTATCATGGCATGTAACGGGGCCACACAGTTGGGCCCATTTTCCATTTTGAGAAATAGTTTATTAAATTCCTTGTAATATAATTAAGACATATCTAATATTTTCTACCATAGTAACTAATGTCAATCAGCTGCAGCATCATTTATTTCAGCATTACAAGACATGATAATTAGCATGATAAGAGACAATAGGTTCAATTGCAAGATTCGTAGCGTCTCAGCTCGGTTTCATTTTGAGTTACGGGTGGACCTGGAGATAGGATGTTAACATATATTTTGGTGTCATCTAGAGCCCTAGGTTAAGTTTGTCCATCGAGTCTTGCATGTTATAGTGTCATTATAGTGTACATACCATGCACTCCCTGTATTTGAAAACTAGACAGGCTTGTATTATATCTTATTGAGGAATGTCAACATAGTGGAGAGTGGCAGCAGAAAGGTCACACCACTCCAGAGCAGACTGGAGGAGGGTGAGTTGTCTTTTATATGAGAAAATTTCAATAATACATTCCTATTCACCAGTAGCACAGTCAAAGAAGGTGCCTGTTTTGAGAAGCAAACTGCAGATATACACTTTATTTTATCTAGTACAGATTGCATGAGGGATGATACCTTTCAGGCACCAGTAAAAGTAATAACGATAGAGAAATGATACCCTACACTATGTGAGAAAGCTTTAAGAAAATACGTGCTGCAAAAATCAGAGCTTACAAGTTAGATGAAATAGGATCCAGAAATATGCCTGAAGATTTGGTTAGATGGGTATCGTCAACCTTGTAATCCCTGGAACACGTTATTGACGTGTTTAACACCAGAGGACAAAGTATCGTATTATTGCTGGCTAGAGCGTTTCTATTAACTGAGTGATAGAGAGCATACATCCATGCGCTGGTAAGTGTACTAGTTTCAGGCCAGAGGGACCTATCCAGCTAGCAGCGATAACCTTGAGTCAATATATTCTTTTGGATGAATTCACCAAAGAATAAACGTACATCACAAGGCTTATATTAGAATGCCTAGAAGGAAGGTAATTCTTATTACCTGAGATAGAAATCAGAATGTCAGTTTGCAGAATACGAAAGAGAATTCATTCAAGAACTCAGCAGCCCGTTATGGTGACCCGATATGAGTGGCTACAAGAGGTAGGAGGTGTTAAAATAGTTTCAGGAGGCCTGAAATATGATGAGATTTCATGCATGTGGAAGTGGTAGCTTCCAGATTTAGAAGAGATTCTCAGCTTTGGGTAAGGGCCAGCTCAGTGATGATTAAGGCGAATTCAGGCTCAGTCAGCGTACCAATGAAACGCAGCTGGTTCCAGTAGTAAGATGAGATCAGACACAGAGTGCAACCCAGTACATATCAGTTCGAGAGCCAAGAGATTCAAAGGTGGTAGTACTTCAGCTGGTCACTAGGCATCCTTTTAAGCCACTGGCACAGCTAAGGGGTGCTCAAAGTAGAGCGCCAACCGTCAATCAGTTGTCGTAGTTTCTCCGGTGGTGATCGAGGTTTAGGCAAGAGGAGCATATAGAGGCACCAGTAGAGGCCATCAAGGGTTCCCGAGATGTGTTATTTATCATGCTTTTCACATTGTGAGATTATGTGTGGCAGACGCAAGGTTGGAGATATGAGTCTCGCAGATGGTGACAGGATAAGATGACATGAATTGTTTGGAGCATCAGAACCATCAGAAGAAAGGACTGTCCTAGAGGCAGAATTTCTACCATATGGTTTATAGTTAATAGCAGGCAGAGGTTCAGAGGTCGTTGTAAGAGGTCAGAGCGTCCGGCAGGCAAGAGACAGCAGCTCAGAAGACCTATGGACAGCCATTGATAACAGTAGTTCCAGCCAGGGTACACTATGCTATGCGAGTACCCAAAAGAAGAATGAAGAGATTAGCATCCACAGAATGTCCATAAAGAGTATGTAGCAGGTTTTTCTATTTGATCATCAGTTTAAGCTTAAATTTGATCCTGGTTTCACATTCATACACATTAGTACCTAAACATTGGGTTAAAGGTTAGCAGTAGGATCTGCATATGAGATCTAGTGGCTATTTTATTGGTTCCTACTAAATACTATTTAGGTTAGTTATTTGCACAGATACAAAACCCATTACCAGTAGATGCAAAAGAATGTCCCAATGTTGATTCATGGAAGGAGTTTCCAGGTAGACCTTTATGGAGTTACCATTCAGAGAATTGATGTTTATTCTGGGTATGGATTGGCTATTCCTCAGACAATCAGCTATAATTTAGATATGGTGCCAAAGAAACAGGGTGACATTTGCATAAAAGCCAGGACTTAGCAGGATAATGGATTTTATAATAGTCTGTTTTCGGAAAATTTCGGCGTAGATGTTTCTAGGTAATGATGATGTTATATGCGAGCTAATCGGCATGCAAAAAGATTAATTATTCGAGGATTTGTAGAATATGCATATAATTTGCGTTCTTTTTTTATATCTTTCCTGACAATACCGACATGACTATATGTGCCATGTGTATAGGTTGTGCATAAGACCCAACATCACCGTATGTGAATTATCCAGCCACGTAACTTTCCAGAAAGAGTTACCAGGGTTTACCCACCAGAGGAAGTGGAGTTTACCATAAATGTCTATCCTGGAGGCACGCCCAGTATCAGGATTTCACGTTACAGAAATCGGCACCACAGTAGAGCTAAAGAAGTGTACGATTCAGCTTTCTGCTATTGAGTATGATTAGACAAAGGCTTATTATGACCCAGCATATCACCTTGGGGAGCACCAGGTGTTATTTCGTCCAAGAAGAAGGAGATGGATCACTCAGACCTGTGTGTTTGATCTTTACAGACTGAACAAGGCGAGACCAATCTCAAGAATACCGTTATCCATGCCTGCCAGGATCGCAATCCGATCGAATAGATTTTTGTTTTTGACTCAGTGCACTAGGGTGCAAGGAGAGCATGTTTACTAAGATCGATCTCAAGCGTCTAGGAGTTACATCAGTTGCGGAAATAAAGGAAGAAGATATATCCAAGACAGCATTCAGGACCCCGATATGGTACACTATGATTTTAGTAATGTTTGCCCCACTTTCGGTTTCTCACTACATGGCACCGGCGGTTTTCATGATCTTATGAACCGTAGATGTTTTCAATTCATCCTGGCTGGGATCAGTTTCGTAGGTGGTGTTTTATAGATGACATTTTGGTCTACTTCCATGAGACAGGGTTGAACAATGATAAACATTTGCCGGATTGTACTAGACACTGGAGGGATAAACAGCTGTAATGCCCAAGCTCAGTAAATGTGAATTTGGCTAGAAAGAACGTTTCTTTCTTAGGACATGGTGGTGGTCATCAGAGGGGTAACAGAAGTGGGATCCTAAGAAGATCGAAAAGCTTATTAATTCGGAATTGGAAACCACACCCAGAAGTGTTCAAGAAAGATTCGAACGTTTTTCTCCTTAGGTTTAGCCCGAGCTAATTACAAGAACAAGATTCGATTAAGGATTCTCCATCAATTTGACACATCACCTTTAACAAAAGAATCTAACTGTGAAGAAAAGAGGTTATAGTATTTCACAATGGGATGATAAAGTGTCAGCGAGAGTGTTTGAAAAACTTTGAAATTAAAAAGTGGACCGAAGCATTCACAGTGGTTTGACCCAACCAGTGTTCAGCTGGTAAAGAATTTGGAGTATTTATACAGTGAAGCCTCTCACTACTGGGTTAAGGATGTGTACTCAATGGGCAAGACAGTAAAGTGGTAGCTTATGTCCCTCCAGAACAATTTGAACCACATGAATGTGAATCTATCTCCAACCCATGGATTTAGAACTGGCCAAGCTTCATATTTATTCCCTAGGCGTTCTTAAAAGTATGAAGGCATCTTATACGGTGAAAGAGTGTTTCATTCTTACAACTGATATTTACAAGTTTAAAAAAGTATTTACCAGAACACAAGAAAGACTTAGAATCTCAAGAAACAACGGAACAGATGGATCATTGCAGATCTTCACTCGCGCTTATTATGTATTTATTGTCATTCAATTATTCCATATCCGTGCGTCAAAATGTATTGATGTGGTATGCTGATGCCCTTAGTCGATAAAACCATTGTATGCTTTGAAGAGCAATGAGAAATTCCACATGGGTTGACTGCACGACAGTGGAGCCTATCTAGCACATGAAGCAAGGTTAACAGTACCATCTTTAGGTTCAAGAGAGAACGTTGCTGAAGCATAGAAAGAATAGATAGAGGTTCAACATAGAATACTGAGGGTTATTAAGGTATAGGAAGTAGCCGGATGGTTGTGGGGAAATTGTCAAATTGGATAAACAGTGGAGTATTAGTCTATGAAGACAGAAGTGTATTTGTTGATACTTTCACAAAGGGGAAATCAGATTCAGATAATGTTCCTGCACATGAAGCTCACAACAGTCCATCCATACAATGCATCAAAGCGCAGTACTTAAGGATGATATCTAAAGATTTGGGAAGAAAGGCTGATTTGTGGCCAGGCATGAAGAAAGACATTGGTCTTAATTTTGTAACAAGTATGTTTGAACAATTGTCAACCAAAGATAAAAGGCCCAGAACATCCAAAATTGCCCAGCTGGGTTGTTCTATCAATACCATAGTGCACCCCCCCCCAAAACTATGATAACTGGGATTAGATCACGATGGATTTTATGTTACTGGATTACCTCAGACCGCAGCAGAAGCATGGATGCCAGTACTGGGTACAATTGTTTGAAGATTATAACCAAGTCCTGCGCACTTTCTATCACCGAGTAGGATGGACTATTCTCTGGACAAGCTTAGCAAGAAAAATTTATGTTAGAGAAATAGTTCGACTACATGGAGTTCCATCATCCATTATATTCTGATCGGTGACTCCAAAGGCTTTACATCGAAAGTTCTGGGGTAAACTGTCAAAAGACGTCATTAGGAACGAAACTACATTTCATGCACTGCATTTCATACTCAGTACAGATGGCCCAGAATCAGAGAGAGTAATTCAAATCTTGGAAGACATGAATAGATAAAGTGTTAAGAAATTTGAAGGCAGCTGGGACAAGATATGTACCATCTTCATGGAATTGTTTGCCTACCAACAACAACTATCAATCGAGCACCTCAAGATGGCACCAATATGAAGCGTTGTATGGGCAAAGAAAATGCAGGACAACCTGTGTGGTTGGACAGAACTATAGTAGAGAGAAGCCATTTTGGTCCAGAAACTGTGTTAGAGAAAATCAGAAAGAGAAAGTAGAAATCATCAGAAAATCTGGCTGAAAAGAAGCAAGTGAATCGACAGAAGTCCTATTTCTGATTTAAAGAGAAAGGACATGAATATAGGTCGGTGATAAGTATTTCCTAAAAAGTGTCACCCAAATGGAAAAAGATCCTAAGGTTTGGAAAAGAAAAAGGTAAGCTTAGTCCTCAGGTTCATTGCGTCAAATGAGATGTTGATCGTGTAGGACCATTAGGCCTATCGCTAGCATTACCATTCGATCATAGAATCCGAATTCATTAAGTCTTTCACGTTTCAACTGTAAGGAGATACAGTATCAGTACCATACATCAGATCGTTAGTATCAGGCGAGATGATTTTTGAAAATATTCAAGCTAAAGATCTCACTTATGAAAGAAGAACCGAGTTTTCAGATCCTAGAACAATGAGATAATTAAAATGAAGACTGTGCGAAAACAACGACAAATAGCATTAGTAAATAAGTTCTTTGGAAGGACCTCATAAAACAGAAGAAGCACTTGGGAAAATCTTGAAAGAAAATCCATGCGACAACAGTAATCCCACATTTGTTCACAACAGTAAACTTCGGGACGAAGTGATTTTATTATTTGGAGGACGTAGAACTGTAAACATCCTAGCCTAGAATGCGAATCGTTTGCATATACCATGAGGATCGAGTCGGGATCCGAACTAGAAAACCGGTTTAAACGCAGAGTGGGGTAAAATGGGATGTACCATAAAATACAGTAAAGAATGGACTTACTTGACAGAATGAAACAAAAAGATCAAGTATATAGAGATAGAGATTACTTTTGCACTAACAATAGAGTAAGTTAGGTATTAGACGTAACATATGGAAAATTTAGGTACTAATTTGGGTAATTTTTAACACACAAATATTTGGACTGGCACGAGACTGATCCATTTCAGTTTGCTTCTTCAATTTTCTTCATCTTCATCTTCAACGTCGTCTTCTCATCTCCATCTCCTCCTTCCATCTCCTCTTATCTTCTCTTCATCTCCACCTTCCTTTCTCCGTCACTTATCCATGTGTATTTAAACACTAAATTCCCAACCTTAGAACTACTATCCAAGTAAGTAGCCTTCTTAAATTTCATACTTTGATGATATTTTTATTCTGATGATTTATAAGAGTTATGGATGTATAGGATGGGAGAGGTGGAAGCTCAAAGTCTGGAGGAATCAATGATAGCTAAAGAAGAAGATGGTAAAGCTCTTTTTGGTTTGAAAGGTTTGCTTGAAGTGGTTTGAACATGAACGAGGTTCTAGATAAATGGTGGATAGCAAAGCATAGGGATGATGAATTGAATGGAAATGAAGTAGACATGAGAATTCATGCTGAACCAGGTTTGTTGGACTCACTTGACACAGCGTAAATTAAACCCTGATTTTAAGACTCTATATAACTGATGGAGAGATTAGGGCAGTAAGTTAATAGTAAGACCGATGGTTATTGTGGATTCCATAACTTATTTGTTTTAGCTGGTCATTAGAAGTTTTGATTCAGGCCATCTCGTAAAAGTTGGAGTTATATAATTGAGAGATATTGAACCTAAAATATGTACAAGACTAGGCCACGGCTGGCAAACACACAAGTCTGGGCGGACTGGAGCGGTGCTCATATTAGGTAAATATTTGACTACCTTACCAAAGTCATTAAGAGATGTTGGTAGAAGACCAAAATATAATATAGGCACTAAATGATATGTTAGCTAACCATAGAATCAGAATCACTTAAATTGTTAGTTTATACAATTGAGATCTGTGACCAAAATAGTATAACCTGTGCCCAGGCTGGAACCCAACACAGGGCACGACTGAAACAGTTACTGACTTGGCTCAATGTTTTTGACCCAAGTACCTTACAAACGTAACCCGAGAACTTAAGAGATATCTGCATGCCCAGCGTCAGACGCTAGGGTTCCGGGCACGATAACCACATTAGATCAACTGCATGGCTTAGTTACAGACAAGTATAGAACAATCTAGTTACAACTACACAAGCCAAAATTAAAGAAGCAGTGGTATGCAAGACATTTTAGGTTAGCCACTAATGTGTTTGGACTACTCATATATAGAATGGTAAGAATCACCTAAATGTTGAGTTTATATAATTGAGAGATACTGACCAATAATAGTAATAAAACTTGGGCAGGTCTTTAAAACAAGCAGCAGGGCAAGACTGGCAGTTTTGCTTTACTTCGAGGCTCATATGATTTGACTACCTCTTATTGCCAAAGTAATTAAGAGAATTGTGATACGCAAGAATAACCTTTTGGTACCTTTAAAATGTTAGCTAAACCAAGAGAATTTTAGAAAACCTAAATTGGACGTATACAGAAAGAGTTTTATGCAGGATTGTGAAACATGTACACGGCTGCCTGAGCATGAATTATCAAAGAACACTTAGAATTGAATGTATTAGGAATGCTAATATGTTAGAATTCATTCACACCTAAAATTTTTTACTGCAATTTTACCTTCTAAGTGAACTTAATATACAAAGCTAAGAATTCCTTAATCTGAATGGGTAAATTTATGTAGCTATATCAATAAATAATTAAGTAAGAATTGCATCGCGGGTGCTAAATATGCTAGAGTATTGTTACCATGTCAGTTACTTTTAGTACGTTATCTTATGGTATTTCATTATTCAACTCATTAGGATATTTCTGAAATAATTCTTGGATTTCAACAATACACATAATAGGCTGTCCATTAAGCGTTAGGCCAGAAAGACCACGTTACGATCAAGACGTTATGTCGCTGATAATAGGATACAGATACTGCGCACCATATCAGTTAATGGTACTCTCAAGCTATAAGGCTGTTGAGTAGGACTAATGGATTTATTATACGCGTGCCATTCAAACAGCCACGACCATAACAGTAATTGACAACAATCCCAGTTATCATAATCAGTTCAAATTTAGCAGTTCTTCTTAATCAACTTTGGTTTCATCTCATAAACCTTTATTGGCCATTGCAGTTTATGTAATGAAATTTTTATTTATACATTATACGAATGGTCTAATACAAAGTTTATGCAAAATTTTTATACACGCCTCAATGAATGAACAACTCAGGTAAAGGATCATGAAAGTAAAATAGATTAAATAAGTGCTTATATTGTTTATTTGTTTTTATTTCCTTATTAAATTGAGATATCCACTGAGCATTATTTGTCAGCGAGTTATTTAATTTAACTCGTAGGTTGGGGCGAGACTGGACCCCGTAGAGAATCAGCTTACAAACTGCTGCAAGTTCACATAACTGCTGAAAGACTCAGTCTTCAGGGTAGCTACTCATATTTGATTTTTGATTCTGTCTACTCCCTTATCATGGCATGCTACATGAGAGGCCACACAGTTGGGCACCATTAATCAATTTTGATGAGTATCAATGTCCTTGTAAAATATTAAAGTACATATCTATATTTTTTCTAACTACAAAAAGCAACAGCTTGACATCAATAGAATTCAGCATACAACAGATTATTCAGCATGCAAAGTACAGATAGCGTTCAACAAACCAGATTGTAGCGTCTCAGCTCGGTCATTTACCAGTTACCACGGGTGGAACCGGAAAGGGATGTTACACAATCTTCCTTTAAGAGATGCTTTTTGAGACTACCAAGACGTGACTATTATTCTTTCAACATTTCCTTGAAATCCCTTTGGTTTAAAAATATCCATTTGCAACTAAAGGGTTTTCTTTCCTTCAGGTAATTAAAAAGATTCCCAAACCTTAGGATTCGTCTTGCATAGACTTAATACTCTTCGTTATCATCGTTTCCACGTCAACCCTACTTATGAAGAAGTCAGAACTCTATTCATGCAAATGATAAAGACACTAACCTGGACTCATCATCATTATCATAGTCTAACAGTCATAACTCATCTGTTCCTGACAGAAAACAGCTATATATAATCATCTGGAATAATAAGCACTTCTTCTCTCCTAGTAAGTCTCCTCAACGCATTTGAACAGAGCCTCTAATTCTTGAAGGAGTGTTGTTGAATATTTGTTCTTTAAGGAAGATATAAGCATTTTCCGTCTTGAATTGAGGATTTCTGAATAGAACGACAGGGAAGCAGACTCGATTTGTTCTAGTATCGCTATCCAGCAAACAACAAAAGTGGAATCGAGAACCCGACGATCAATCCTTACTATGTTCCCCTCAAAGACAATGTTCCATTTCTTTATTTTTCTCCGTCACAAAAATCCACATTCCTTCAAAGAATGTTGTAAATTCTGGTTCAAAAAAAGTTCTGGAAAGTAGGATTATGAAAACTTGTCAACTCCTAAGACGCTAAGACCATATCCAACAAAGTAAGCTGCTGATAGTTTTGGAGTCCAGTTTGATTTCCTTCGGACCTTGTACAAGGCCCTTTGCTTCAGCTGGACAATCCCCAAACATGAAGATGCTTTAGACTAGGCAACGTCCAAGTCAACATTGTCATTTAAAGTTGTATTTAGACAAACTAGGAACACCTATTTTCTAAAGAGGAATCCTATTTCTTAGAGCAGATAATGCTGCTAGTCATTTAACGCTTCCCACCCCACATAGAGACTTCTGGTAAAGAGTATAACAATAACAAAACACATCAAACACCAGAGAATGACTAATCATACTCCTTACCTATACTCCATAAGAGTCCTATCACTGTCTCTCACCAGAATACAACACCGAATTACATTGCTGGGAGTACCACAATTGGTATAATTGAATGGCACAATCCACATTCCTATAAGGAATAAAGAGCGCATAAATAAAGGTCCTGGAACGTTGTTTTTCGCCACTGAACCGATCATTATTTACCGATAATATTCACTCACCAACGGTCAGATCGAACTATGATGTGGTGAGATCTTCGGTTTCCGTAGTGTTGATTATTCAAACTTACCGGCTAGTTTATAAGATTTTGTTATACACGTCCCAAGACTCAGATTTTTTACATGAATGAGCATATAAAGATAACCATAACGAGAAATAGTCACTTTAATTTCCGAATTGATATAAAATGATCGGGTGTGGACCATTTCTAGCTGGCAGAATATGGAATGGACCGCAAATACCTTTTATTGAAATACAGATTCTAAAACATTGGATGAAAACCGAAATGGCACCTAGCCTCTTTTTTGTTTAGTCCTGTTTTTCCTCATTAATACAAATCATACAAGAATTCCAAACCTGTGTTTAAATCAACCGTGTATCTAAGATACCATGGTTTCATAAAACAAGCACCTCAATTCTTGATTTGGATACATGACCCAAACCGTCTATGCCAAAGTACAAGCTGAGTTATTTCAATATTTCAACTTTACTTTTGGTACCTCTTGTAAGTAACATCAAGGGATTCATGAAATAACTAGTACAAATGTCTAACATATATAGATTATCACATTCATTCATAGAGCCAACCATACCCAAAACTTTTGAATTCATAGATAAAACGTAAATACACGACTGTCCTCAAAAGACAATGAAAACCAAGAGTTGTCCAAGAAAAGGAAACAGAAAGTCAAATTCCTTCTAAAAGAGGGAATAACAAAAGTATCTATAAAGATCAAAAAATAAACCAGTAACCTTAAACATAATCTAAAATGTCCAATTGCCCTCTACCTTCAACCGGAGTCGCCAATTTCCCACATAGACGTATCTTTCACCGTCAGTTGGGCTTTCTGTAGTTGACGGCAGCCCTGGCAAGAATAACACTTATATGAGCGGTAGCACACAGAATCCATCAATTTAAGTGTTTTTAGGAGCTGAAGTTAATATGAGACGTGTCACAACAGAACTAAACAATAAAGTGTACCTTTTTATCCGCTTCTTTGGCAAGTACAATTTAGCAATATTGTTTAGGCAACAGCCCCTCCCAATATAATCTCATGATCCGTCTTTCCACAAAAAGAACGCATTTTGGCACATAAGGTTCTTATTTTTGTAACTGGATATTAACAGAACAAGTAGGCAGCAGCAGTGGTTTCTCATTTTAATATGCTCTTTTTTCAACATATAACTTTGCATAAGGTCCATTTTTCTTTTCTTATTAATCTTGCCCTTCCCAGTCGAAACAACATGAAGTTACACTCTCTCTTTGTTAGAATTCATTCTTTTCCTCCTCAATCAACAAATGAGAAATGACTCGTAAAGAGTCCATTTATTCGCGACAATTATAGGAAGTCCCTAATTTGTCCATACTGAGAGGATGAGAGAAATTCATATACCAAATGGACTAAAA